TTTATGTGTTAAAACCATGATGTTTTGGAAATGGCTTCTAGTTCTGTCTTCATGTGGCCAGGTAAGATAAAGTCCATATTCTGTTCCTTGGCAGATGGGAATTTGTTCTTGTCTCTTGAATCACATGCAGACAGTTGTGTAGTGATCAACTGGATGTGATACAACATTATTACATTGCTGAAAAATGAGAGACCTCTACAGATGAGAGCTGCTACTAGGAGCTTTGACCTTGTGAACAGTAAGAAGTTTATGTTGATAATGCAGTTAATTTTTTCAGCAGTGTTTTTAAATTGGAACAATGGAAAATGGGACAGCAGTTTTTCTTGTATGTCTGCAATTACTCTTCAGAATTTCCAAGTGATTGATCAGGCTAGTGTATGAAGCACCTTTCTCCAAAAACAACAGTGTTATGTCTTCCGTCATGTTTGTGTCTTCTTTAATTCTTTGCTGAATGAGATGTAGATGTTTGTTGAAATTTCATGCTCACATTCCACAAAAATTCTTAAACTGCCATAACCTTTCCATTCTTAAATTTGTTAATAAATTAATTATAATATAAGTTTGCCTTTCTTGAAGCACTGCAGTTTATCATCATCTTTCTTCCCTTCCTTCCTTCTCCTCCATGAAATTGTGAAGGGTGATAAATGGAACACTTTTGATTAAAATGTCATTTGAATAAACCATTGTACTGCTAGAACTGCTGGAACATGCTATTGTCAGTATATTGTAACAAATAAAAAGTGACATTCAGGTTCTCAAGGTGGTGAGCATGAAGATGGCTGTCTTCTGGTTGTTGCATAGTGTAGTCTTGTAGAAGTTCACTGATGATTGAGTAAAGTTTACTCATCACCATGATGATGGAGGCATCAAGCACCTCAGAAACCCAAAAGCCAGCCATCTACATAAACAGTGACGGAACAAAATCCTAATGATAAAAATAAAGAAGCAAGCAAACTCCACTTCGCACCAAATGAATATTTGCTATTGCAGTATAAACCTGTCTTAATTGGCAAGATTCTTGCAGCACAATGTGGATATAATGAAGATGGAGCCAGACATGCTGTCATCACAGTGGGAAACCCAGCTTCCAGCTTCATTCACTCTTGTTGCTGTCAAGTGTGAAGTTGAGGTGAGTTGGAGATATACTGTGTATCAATGATTGGTGTCAGTCTTAGCACTGGGTTCTGAAATGTTTTGTGTTTGAAGGCATTTGAGAACAGTGCCTGTTATACTGGCTCATTAAGTGAATTATACAGGTTCATTTCACCAGGTGGATTAATTTGATGTGAGGAATGTGTAGGCAATTGGATAATTTTAATGACAGTAAGATCTATTACCCATTACTTTCTGAGTCACTTTTACAATCCCTTTGGCCATTTATATTCTATATTAACCATTTCTGTGTAACAAACATAAATGTGTTTATTTGTTTGTGTATGCATGTGTTATTTCGGTAATTTGCTGATCACAGTCGCCACATGGTCAGCGTTGTCAGTGTTAGCTGCTTGGATACTGGGATCATGGTTTCACATCTTACTCAGAGCATGGATGTTTGTCCTTGTCTTTCTATGTAGTGCTGCTGTGTGTAGGTTAAGGCCTTGTGATGGGCTGATTTCCCATCCAAGGAGTCCTACTAGTGACAATAAACATGGTTTCAGAACCTCAACATCAGAGGCAGTCTAGGTTATCCAAAAACTGTAGAGTGACATTGAAAGAAAAGAAGGAAGGAAAAGTTTGGCAGCTTATAATTTTCATTGATTAAAACCACATATCAAGAAATGGCAGAAGAATTTTCACAGATACCAATTATTAAAGTTGTTGAAACCAAAGCAGAAGTTCATTGAATTGAAATGATTATCCCTATAAAGCCTACTGATAGCTGTATGTTACATTTGCTTCAATAATCAGTAATTTCATTTTACCCACAGAGTATATTTAGAGATTTCATGTGAACAATGATTGTTTCCTTACACAGGATTACCCACTTGTCTTTGTAGAGGAAAAGCATTGTGTTCTCTTTGTGGTACAGATTGTAATTTTAAGTGGTATTTAGATGATCTTTAGCATCGAAGGGGTAAAACAATAGCGATGCAGTGTTTTGTTTGTATATTGGTTTGTTTAACAATGCTCTGTCAGTGAATGTAATTGGAAGTAGCAAGATAATGAGGAATGTTGAGTTACAAAAGGATGGGAAAGTGACCACTGTCTAATGTAAAGTTCTGTCCCAGCATTTGCCTTTAGGAACTGTGGAAAATACTAAAGAACTGCAGTCAGGATAAAGGGTCTTTGGTTTTCATAACCAAGAATTAGGAATATTCTAAAATTGGAATACTACCCACTACATTACAGCTCCCAATGAATAGGTTTTGTTGCTGTAGTGATTTGATGTTTAAAGCATAACAGTGAATGGAGTGCAGTAGTCACATTGCATTATTCCACCAGTATTTACTGTGTTGTCTACATCAGTGGTATTCAACCTGGGGTACGCGAAGACAACTTAGGTGATACGTGAGATTTAAAACAAAATTATTTTATGATAAACACTGAATAATCAGTACTGTAATTTATTCAATTTATTTTAGATGTACATTATATACTATGTATAACTTGAATTATACACCAACAACTTTTGGGGTACAAAGTTGAAGAGAAATTATATCTGGGGGTAACGCGAACAAAAAAGGTTGAATACCACTGGTCTACATCAATCAGTCACAGTTTACATGTTGCTGAAGTTTTGCTGTGAAAAGTATTGAGGTAAAGATGGGTGTTTTTATTGTCACGAGGGTTGAATCAGGATTGAGATGATATTTTTTCTCTGAGGAACGGAGAAAAACCACAGAACACTTAACTCTCACATCAGCCAGCTCTCTTGTAGTTTCATTGAGATATTTATGAATGAATTCTGCACAGAATAACATAATGCTTTGTTGATACTTAAAAACTTGAATAAAACAAGAAAGGTAAACAATTAATATACAACCTATGAATATAAAACCTTATTTTTAAACTTTATTGTTTTAGATTGTGCAGTGTGTTAATGTTCAGGTTCTTAAAACTGGCTTATAGTGTTGTAATTTGTAACATAAATGTGTTTAATGAGAACTAAAGACAAAAATATTTCTTCTCTGTTTAGGATGAAGCTAAGGATTTTATGGCTGTTAAAACAGGGGTGAAAGATGAAGTAACAACAGGAGAACATGAGGCAAAAATTGAGGATTGTAATGGGTGAGTTTTAAGTTTGGACTAATTAGTAGGCCTGCAGTGAAACAGTACACTGATTCAGGTGTCTGTGGCAGAAATTATGCTTCTTCAGTAGTGAATGTACAGTCAGGCAATGAAACATTTCTAGTAGAATTGCTGTTGAAAAAATGTATTTGTCAAATTGCGCAAAAGTAGTTATCACAGCTGAAATGTGTGTAGATGCATGGCTTGATAGAAAGTGTTGACAAAGACAAATGAAAGGAAACTAATAAAGATGTAAATGCATTATGTTATAAGGAAAAAAAAGATGAACTTGGTTATTAACGTAATTTGTGTTATAAGATTCTAATGTGTGATAATATGAGATAACTTGAAGAATATAAGCAAGTTTTCCACTGAGCATGGTGCTCTTATAGTGTTGAATGACCTGTGTAGCTATGCTTTCTTACATGTTCTAGTTAAAATATTGTATACATATTTTATTGAAACACATGGTTTTTATTTGAGTATAGCTGGAAGGGTGCGAAATGAGAAATAACTAATTTTTACACCATATAGTTTAAAAATCTTCATGGATGTACCAAGACTAGTTCAGATGGGGAAATATTTTGGCCTCCAGCAACGAGAAACTAGCTGAAATTATGGTACAGTGAGACTGATAATGTTTGTGTTTTTGTGAGGTTCCCATTGGAAATGTTGCCATACATATTTCCAACATGTATATTGTATAGTAAAGGAAGTGATTATAGTGTATTGATAGCTTTATAAGTGAACAGTAGATTTGATAACTTTATCAAAGGAAGATATATGTAATTTGACTCAGACTGGATTGACTGAAGATTATTAAATTATTAGTTGTGTTTTATGGTAATAATACAGACAACATTCATAATTTGTATTCATTATTAGAGTGATCAAATCAAGGAAGCACATATAGCAGACATTGATGGGATGAAAAATGTGTGTAAATTTTTAGAAAATGCAAAGGGAAGAGAGCATTTTATAGACCAAAACATAAATTGGATGGTTCTTCTTCTATGGCTCTCCAGTCTGTATTCGGTCCATGGCCTCCTCAATTCTCCCCTTCCATTCGGTCCTATCCTCAGCTGCCTTCTTCCAATTTCTAATCCTCAGGAGCAGTGTGGCATCCATTTGAACTGCATCCTCCCATCTGTTCCTGGGTCTTCCAACTGGTCTTCTTCCTCCAACACTTCCTTTGATTACCATCTTTGGAATTTGGATTTCGTCCATCCGAATCAGGTGACCTGCCCATTGTAGTCTCTTGATTTTCATAAATTGTGAAATGGTATGTCTTTATATAATTTATAGATTTCCTGATTAGGTTTTATCCTCCATTCACCTGCTTCTTGTGTTGGGCCGAAAATTTTCCTCAGGATTTTCCATCAGTCACAGTTTACATGTTGCTGAAGTTTTGCTGTGAAAAGTATTGAGGTAAAGATGGGTGTTTTTATTGTCACGAGGGTTGAATCAGGATTGAGATGATATTTTTTCTCTGAGGAACGGAGAAAAACCACAGAACACTTAACTCTCACATCAGCCAGCTCTCTTGTAGTTTCATTGAGATATTTATGAATGAATTCTGCACAGAATAACATAATGCTTTGTTGATACTTAAAAACTTGAATAAAACAAGAAAGGTAAACAATTAATATACAACCTATGAATATAAAACCTTATTTTTAAACTTTATTGTTTTAGATTGTGCAGTGTGTTAATGTTCAGGTTCTTAAAACTGGCTTATAGTGTTGTAATTTGTAACATAAATGTGTTTAATGAGAACTAAAGACAAAAATATTTCTTCTCTGTTTAGGATGAAGCTAAGGATTTTATGGCTGTTAAAACAGGGGTGAAAGATGAAGTAACAACAGGAGAACATGAGGCAAAAATTGAGGATTGTAATGGGTGAGTTTTAAGTTTGGACTAATTAGTAGGCCTGCAGTGAAACAGTACACTGATTCAGGTGTCTGTGGCAGAAATTATGCTTCTTCAGTAGTGAATGTACAGTCAGGCAATGAAACATTTCTAGTAGAATTGCTGTTGAAAAAATGTATTTGTCAAATTGCGCAAAAGTAGTTATCACAGCTGAAATGTGTGTAGATGCATGGCTTGATAGAAAGTGTTGACAAAGACAAATGAAAGGAAACTAATAAAGATGTAAATGCATTATGTTATAAGGAAAAAAAAGATGAACTTGGTTATTAACGTAATTTGTGTTATAAGATTCTAATGTGTGATAATATGAGATAACTTGAAGAATATAAGCAAGTTTTCCACTGAGCATGGTGCTCTTATAGTGTTGAATGACCTGTGTAGCTATGCTTTCTTACATGTTCTAGTTAAAATATTGTATACATATTTTATTGAAACACATGGTTTTTATTTGAGTATAGCTGGAAGGGTGCGAAATGAGAAATAACTAATTTTTACACCATATAGTTTAAAAATCTTCATGGATGTACCAAGACTAGTTCAGATGGGGAAATATTTTGGCCTCCAGCAACGAGAAACTAGCTGAAATTATGGTACAGTGAGACTGATAATGTTTGTGTTTTTGTGAGGTTCCCATTGGAAATGTTGCCATACATATTTCCAACATGTATATTGTATAGTAAAGGAAGTGATTATAGTGTATTGATAGCTTTATAAGTGAACAGTAGATTTGATAACTTTATCAAAGGAAGATATATGTAATTTGACTCAGACTGGATTGACTGAAGATTATTAAATTATTAGTTGTGTTTTATGGTAATAATACAGACAACATTCATAATTTGTATTCATTATTAGAGTGATCAAATCAAGGAAGCACATATAGCAGACATTGATGGGATGAAAAATGTGTGTAAATTTTTAGAAAATGCAAAGGGAAGAGAGCATTTTATAGACCAAAACATAAATTGGATGGTTCTTCTTCTATGGCTCTCCAGTCTGTATTCGGTCCATGGCCTCCTCAATTCTCCCCTTCCATTCGGTCCTATCCTCAGCTGCCTTCTTCCAATTTCTAATCCTCAGGAGCAGTGTGGCATCCATTTGAACTGCATCCTCCCATCTGTTCCTGGGTCTTCCAACTGGTCTTCTTCCTCCAACACTTCCTTTGATTACCATCTTTGGAATTTGGATTTCGTCCATCCGAATCAGGTGACCTGCCCATTGTAGTCTCTTGATTTTCATAAATTGTGAAATGGTATGTCTTTATATAATTTATAGATTTCCTGATTAGGTTTTATCCTCCATTCACCTGCTTCTTGTGTTGGGCCGAAAATTTTCCTCAGGATTTTCCGTTCAAACAGATCCACTTTATCTGCTGCATTCTGATTGAGTACCCATATTTCACTCCCGTATGTCATTATGCTATGGATGAGAGTTTTATATAATGTGATTTTTACTTTCTTATTTATTCCACGGAATTTTATCAGTGGTCATATCGAGAAATATGCTTTATTGGCTGCTTGAATTCTGCTTTGTATTTCTACCATTTCCTCATTCTCATTTGTTATGCATACTCCCAGGTATGTGAATCATTGCATCACTTCTATTTCATGTTCCTTGATCTTTATATGATGGTCTAATGATCTTCTCCTTCTTGTTCGTATTAAGGCTTTTGTTTTCCTTGTGTTAATTTGTAATCTAACTTCTTTCCCTTTCTCACCTAGCACTTCAACTACTTCTTTGACTGATCTTAATGATCTTCCCAAAATATTTATGTCACCCGCATACCCTGCTATTTGTACCATTTTATATTCCAAAGTGTGTTTGATGTCTACTGCTAGTTTTCTGATTACGTGCTCAGGGCAATTGGATGGTTAGGGGATGACATTGAATTGGATCTTTAAGAAATAGTGTACAAGAGCTTGGACTGAATTGAAATGTCTGGAGATGCTTGTGACCTGATTCTGTAAAAGGTTGTGTGTTGACTGACTGAGTGACTATCAGCTTCTCAAGGACTCTTGTTATGTGGAGTTAATAGGTTATGACTTTTTATAAATTAGGTGGAGGTAAGTATTCATCAGAAAGTCGTAAATCACGAAATGGTTCTGTGAAGCATTGTTAGTAGAAACTACTATTATGATAAAATTATGTGTTCTGGTTGGAGGTCTGGACTCTTGCATTAAGAATGGGAGAAAATATGATTTTATGGATGCTTTGGATTCTGCTTTGCTGTCATTTTGCATATAGTTGCTTGTAACTGAGGAATGGCTCAATTTATATATTCTATTCATAGATGCTTTTATCACTCTGTGTTTTATAATTATGTTCAGAAAACACATTTTTTTTATAAATTGTGATATAGCAATGATTGCTTTGTTTTTCAGTAGCCTTGATTTGATGTTCATGTTGTATTATGTCTAGCTTTTGTGCACCACATAATTGAGTATTGTGAAATTGAATTAGATTGGGTGATAGTTTTATTAGTGATATCTATTGGAGAGATTGTTATCATAGCCAGTTGATAAGAATTCTGAATTTTATTTGCAATACTGTTTATATAATAAACTCATTTATTTTTTCTTGGTATGGCATATGTCATACTACTGCCTGAAACCTCATGAATTCATGTGTCTTTGGAAAGTATTGGTTGAACTACAAAGACACATAGTGATTATGAGAAAGACTGGAAAGGTATATGCATTTCAACGGAGTCTACATATTTTTCATATATATTATTTTTGTATTTTTAGATGCAAATCTGTTCCTTTATTTCATTAATTTTATCCATCTTTTGCAGGAATTCACAGCATACAGCTATGTACAAGTCTGTTGACAAAGGTTAGTGAAGTACAATGAGGACCTAGTCCATGGTTCCTCCAGGGCTGTTGAGAAGGTGTGACAAGAACCCTGAAAATGAACAGGACCAAATGTGAGATGGAACAGCAGGTTAGGAAAAATGTGATATACAGTGAAACCTCGATGCATCGTTTTCGGCGGGGGTGGGAAATAAAAACGATGAATGCGGGAAAACGATAGATGCGGGAAAGCATTAAAAATTTAAAAAAAACAATGTTTCTCTTTCAAAGTTACTTCTTTTTACCAAAAAAGTCTTTAATGGACAACTGGTTTGT